CGACTTGCCCACAACTGACTCTCGCATCCTCCACATGTGGGACGCACACACTGGCCTCATGCACAGGTGGCACCAGCAGTGTCACAACAAGATATTACGCCGTCGCATCGAAGCGCTAGCGCGCGAAATTGAGAACCACAGCCTCGCCCTCTTGAAACAGCAGTGGGGTCAGCTGTGTGACAGTCTCAACGGGCAGATGAGCTCAGAGAAAACGTGGCACCTACTACGACACTTTCTCGATCCCTGTGCGTCCAAGTTGTCTGCGAAAAACCAGCTTTACCGGCTGCTACATCGTTACCCTAGCACGGAAGCCGAGCTGCTCGAAGAGTTGGCTCGTCGTTACGTGAACCTCGCCCGTCCGAACGCGCTATCGGAGCGCTTTCCCCCGTATAGTGGCAAACCGAACCCCCGACTGGATGAAGATATTACGGAGGTGGAAATCTACGCCACGATGCTCAAACTTCGCACAACGTCGGCGCCTTGTCCTGATGGCGTAAGAAACAAGTCCCTCCGAAATCTCGACGTGAAATCGGTGGCTGCGCTCACGTTGTGCGCTTACGAGTGCTGGCGCTCGGGCCACATACCACAGGAGTGGAGACACGCGAGGCTCGTATATATCCCCAAACCAGGCAAGAAGATGGACATCGCCAACCTACGCCCCATATCGCTCACATCTTGAATTGGCAAGCTGATAGAACACGTTGTCTTGGCCCGATTACAGACCTACGCTGAAGAAAATTACCTTCTCCCTACCACGATGCTCGGCTTTTGCGCCAACCTATCGACGCAAGATGCGCTTGTGCAATACACCATGACCTCCTTCGTACCCCGCCGAAGGCCGGCACTCGTGCCGTGCTCGCTCTAGATCTTCATAAGACATTCGGCTCGGTGCGACACGAACCCACGGCCTCAAACCTTGCCGCCATTGACCCGGGTGAACGTACGTATAGCTACGTATGTGACTTCCTTTCGAACCGTACCGTCGAAATATCGCTAGCCGGTGGCTCCGCCTCTAAACACCTCACACTAGGATACAGAGACACCCCTCAAGGTGCGATTTTCTCCCCATTTTTACTTAACCTTTCTATGCGCACGCTGTCTTCTTCACTCGATGGCATCCCGGGCCTTCGTCGTGCCATCTATGCAGACGACGTCATGCTGTGGACGACTACAGGTACAGACGGCGAGATAGAGGAGGCCCTCCAACGTGCGGCTGACGCCGTCGTTAGCCACGCGACGCAAACAGGCCTCACGTTCTCGCAGAGCAAGTCGGAGCTCTTGCTGCTTCGTCCTCCCGACAGCCGTCGGAACAAGTACCCTTCCCAACCGGCCATCCAAATCTATGGCAACGGTGTAGCCGTACCACGAGTTGACCACATGTGCATTTTGGGCATATTCATTCAATCAAATCAACAGAACACCATCATACTGGAATGCCTCAACTTTGCCGACTCTCAAACAACCCGCCTCATTGCTCGCGTGTTCGCTCGAAGGCAAGGCATAAAAGAAAAAGAGCTACTCCAGCTTATCCACGCCTCCATCATATCTCGTCTCACGTACGCGCTACCATACCTGCGCCTACTAGGATGCTAGAGGGACAAACTGGACAAACTTATTCGCAAAGTGTACAAGAAGGCTCTTGGGCTCGTTGCTCGACCTCTACGTCGCAGCTCCTCAGCCTCGACATCCACAACACTATCAACGAACTCATCGAAGCGCACCGCATGGCACAGATTCAGAGACTTCACGGTAGCAAGACCGGCCGCTGGATACTCGCTCGCATAGGACTCACCACCTCGCCGTCAGGCGCAGACCCGGTCTCTATACCTCTGACTTGACGTCAACGTTTCCTCATCAAACTACTGCCGAAAAACATGCTTGCAGGACACCACCACGGTAGATGGCGAGCACGAGCCCAAGGGTTACATGACGACTACGCCTTGCGGCCCGATGTGGCATACGTGGACGCGGCCCGCTACCCCTCTCAACCAAGCGCGCATGCACTTAGCGTAATAACAACTCGCACCCCCCTCAACACGACGCAATCTTGCGAGTAGCCGGCTCTGTCCATGCCCTCCACCCCGCCAAAGCCGAGGAAGCGGCCATAGCCTTCGCGGTGACCTCCGGGTTCACTACGATCATCAGCGACTCGTAAACCGCTCTCTCCCATTTCGCTCGCGGTACCGTTGCTCCCGGTACCTTACGGCTCCTTGAGTCCCTCGCCTACCCCTAAGACAAGGATGCGCCTCCCATATCTCTTCTCTGCGTCCCCGCGCACGCAGGAAATCCGGGGAGCAAGGCTGCCCACCGACAAGCTCGAGGATTTGTCAACCACGTGGTGGACCCCGCCACGAACCCAAGGAACACCGGTGAGCCCCTCATATCCTAACACGAAATTGCTCAGCACTATCGCCTCGCACATCTAACAAAGCCACCGCCGCATCCAAAACTCACGAAACCACAATAAATCACATGGCACCGCCTCCTGACGAACTAGTTCCCGTGCCAGCGGGTATACGCACACACTTACCCTGATCTGTTCTGTTCTCATTGCTCAAAATGTGGCTCCGTCGCCTCCCTCTCTCATACACTATAGGACTGCAGCAAGGATCCACCCCCGCCTGATATCCAGACCACTCCCTCGTCCAAGGCATGGGAAAGAGTACTCCGAGATACGTGCCTAAAGGTACAGCTCTGGGCCATACAGCGAGCTGAGGAGGTGGCGGCCAGGCACGGCGTGATCGCCATTCCTCTGTGAATTTTTTTTCACTTGAATAAAGTTGTTTCTCTCTGTATCTCTCCTTATAGCGGCACACGTTCGTCCCTCGTAGACGGTGTAGTATGTAACAAGTATAACATTTTGACCTTCAGGGTGGTGCCGGTGAGAGATTTCTTTTGTGCGTTCTTGAACAATAACAAATAGTGCTTAATGTACATGACATTGGCTGCTAATGGGAAATGAGAGATAACAGCATTTGGCTTTTAGTTAACGCGCACGCTGCGATTCCCATTAGCAGCCATTGGCATATACATTGAGCACTAGCTGACAAGAAAGGGTTGCTACGTTATACTCACTGGGCGTAATCTCCTTGGCTTCACAAAGGTTTAGCGAGCGTTGGTCCGCAGTGCCATGAGTACAGTGAACTAGTATATACCATGAACTCGAGGTGGTTAAAGGTGGGAAGTGGACCCGAAGCGCAAGCCGTAAGAAAGTGTGCGTGTGCCACCTCTCGTTTAGTCCTTGGAATGTCCGCTGGATGGCGGTGCTTCTATATGGGGAATATATGATGAAAAGATGCGAGATGGTGGTACTTGGAGTGTTGAATAGATAGACGAACGGACACACAGACAGATGCATGGATGGACGCATTAACGGACGCAGGGGCGGATTCATGGACGAACGCAGGGACGGATGCACGAACAGACACACGCATGGACGGGCGCATGGACGTATGGACGCATGGACGGTCACACAGACGGACGCATGGACGGACGGAAGCAAGAACGAATGAAAGGACGAATGCTTCGCCCCACTCTCCATCATTCACATTCACTCTGTGGATATGCTGCCATTTTTTTTAAATGCGAAGCATTTCTTAGCGAACTTCAGTGACTATGAGCGTATCTATCTATCTATCTATCTATCTATCTATCTATCTATCTATCTATCTATCTATCTATCTATCTATCTATCCGCGTACGACATTTAGCTCTCTTGGCCTTTTCAATAACGGTATCGATACCAAACTGGGTATGGCATAACATGACTGTATGAAGAATATATTTGTATAGTAATAACATGAAAATTATGTCATGTATGTCATGAATGTCATGATTTATATTTCATGGTCCTGCAGCTCTTGCGGTGGTTTCGTTCACATGGCATGTTGCAAAACTGGTATGGTATGACACTATTGCATGGCGAACACAAGCGACAGACCCTAAAATTAAAATCATGACATGCGCCTCATGTTACAATATGACTACATGCCACGCTCACTACGCACTCGCGGCCATTTCGCTAGCGTCACATATACCCAATTCGGTATTATGGTACGTGAATGGATGACGAAGGTATGTGACTGGCGCAAATATGATAATTATGAGATGCGTGTCATATAAGAACATGACTACACGCCGCAGTCAAGGCGCCAATACATTTCGACGTGACGCGGTGCACTTGTTCGCCAGTGTTCATTTCGTCACGTCACGCCGGCGTTGCCACCCCAGGCGCCAGTCCTGCCATATACTAGCAGGTGCGCGCCGCGCTGCGTTGCTTTGAGAAATGCACGTTTCAGCGGGTCCGGCATCCCTCCGTTACGAAAAGAAAGAGATGCAGTGTTGTCTGGGTAACACATCTGCGCGAAATGCAGCATGTCGCATTTCACGCCACTTGCCATCGGGTTGCGCCTGTCGCGCCTGGCGTCAGACTATACAATGCTCGCGTTTTGCTAGCGTAGCATCGCTGTTCCCAGCGTGCGCGCGCGTCAACGCTACATTGGAGTATATTGGGCCTTTCATTATGCGCTTGCGGCCGTTTTTCTAACTTCACATATACCAAATTTGGTGTGACGTGACATCAATGAATGACGGAATACATGAATCGTGCAAACGTGATAAGCTTGAGACGCGTGTCATGTAAGAACATGACAACATAACTTGTTGAAAGCGTGCTCGCGACCGTTTCCCTAGCCCCACAGACACTAAATTTGGTATCACGTGGCGTGAATAGGGGACGTAGGTAAAGGACACATCCAAACATGATAATCATGAGACGGAAGTCACGTACGGCATCATTTGTTTCCTCCTCGTATTGTTGTGCTGGTTTTAAAGTGACATTTCAACCGTTCTAATTTGTGCTTCGCATATTATCGATTACCACTGTACGTAGAATCTGGCAATTTTTTTAACTTTATTTTTTGTAATTGGTAGTAGTGTTCTCTGAGTCATCTACAGCTGAAAGAAAATTGGTATTTTAGCTTGAGCTTTTCAAAAATTTCTTACGAAAGTAAAGTTGCATTTTTATTTAATGTGTTAAAGCCTTGTCACATTGTAACGTACTGGAATGGAGAATTTATATTCACATGTGTATCTGTATAACGTCAGGCAAACATGGTAGATGTCATGCGTATGCGGCCCGGGAAGTCCTTCTTCTCGAATGTGGAGCTCACAGTATCGATGTTCTGTTGATGAGAAAAGTAACAAGGTATTATTTATTCATAGGATCGTTACTAAGTAAATCTTCATAATAGGTACTACATGTACCAGATAGTGACACTAGATGAAAAACGATGCTTTTTTCTATTTTTCGTCACTCATCTTACTAAGACCTATCGTGTACTTCAGAGTTCCCTCTTCTTTTTCTGGAGCTAACAAATAAATGCTTATTAAAGAATAATGTTATTCATAATAAAGCTTACAGACGCACCTGATAGGGGAAGTCCCTAACGACCTGCTTTAGCACATGCAGAATGTATGTCAGATAGCAGCGGGGAAGCAAGTGTTGGTGGTGCGAAGTGCAATCATGAAAAAACAAACAATAATTGAAGAAGGAAGTGGCAATTAAGGCACTTGTTTTTCTTCAATAAACACAGTATTAAGTTTAACTATAGCAGACACTGATGCCAAAGAAAATATATGGAATGGTATTTGTAGGGATTATGATATAAATAAATGTAAAGAAAGTAAAGTCGGCGAAAAGATAACTTGGCGCTTGTAGGTACCGAACCTGCGATCTTCAATTAACGCTTGCGTTGCCCTACTGAACTCAAGCGTTGGTCATCCCTCCATCCACTTTATGTGGTATATAAGTTCATTTCAAACCAGTAGTGTTAGTGAGCGCCGCTAGTACCATGGCGGCCCGTGTGAGACACTCTTTTCTGCCTGTAGGCGTCACATATCACGGGATCTTATGAGTCAGCAGCTGAGAAATATATCCTCACATATTTACTATAGCCGTGAAGTCTGCCAGAAAATTATCCTACTACGTGTTTCCATCTGCCGGCTTCCATATCGATTTCGAATTTCTACTTAAGGTAAGGTTGTCACTGGAGGTAAAGCGCCAATATACAAGCAATAAAACACTTTCGATGAAAACTATTACAAAAAAGTCGCTATGAATTACGTAAAAACGATATTGTCAAATCCTGATCACGAACAATGTATGGTTTACTACTATTTACAACATAATTACAAGGCATTTTAAACGAATACCCAAGTATAATAAGCCTACTACGAAATAGAATCTCCACAACTCAATTCCAAAAGCAAGTAAAATCATTATTATTTCTGGAGTTTTAGGGTGTTGTTCTTAATTGTATATGGAACTGTGGGTAAATGTTGAACATTGTATGTCGTAGAATATATATTTCATTCTTTTTTTAACAGATACTGCCACATTTTCAAAACTGTCGTGTTGCTTTTGGTTTTCCTGTTTGTTTTCCTTCCAAAGCTACAGGGTCAGATTTTGTATTTTTTATTTCTACTATTGTACCATTCAAGTGCTATTGTGGTTATATAAATTGGAAATTACACAACGTACTGTAGCAACTGCTGCCCGGTGAATGATGTAGCCTAGTCAGGCACCTTTCGGGCCCTTTGCTGCGTCTCCTGAGACAATTGCGAATTGTCTTGAATAAAGTGTGAATGAATGAATGAATGAATGAATGAATGAATGAATGAATGAATGAATGAATGAATGAATGAATGAACGTCACAAGCAACGAGCTCGGCTACTCGCATTCTGAGAGCAGTGTGGGGCAGATTCATAAGCACTGGCGTAGGTTGTCCTAAAGCTGGGGAGCGCACACTTTGGCGTTTGTCTCTTCAAGCAACGGCATTTTGAATGAGCGCATGTCACGCACTAATGTTCATTTGCTTGTTAATGTCATTTTTGTGGTGGCTAATGCTGCGCGCGCGTGCATGTTAACAAATTAAGCAACTTCCAAGGCTTAATCATTATCATGGACATGGACAGTCATTGGAGAGGTGTGCCACACTGAACGTGGGCACGCCCCGTAAAACGTGGGTACAGCGGTTAAGCCCCAAGTTACATTGTCCAGGCTATCATATATCAATGTAGATTTACTAGTGAACTACTTCTCTGAAGGCAAGTTTTACTTCTGTGTTATACCGATTGCTGTGATCCTGGCATCAACTACTTCTTTCCTTTACTTTTCAAGAATACTGAAATAAAACAGTCTGGTACAGTCAAATAAATAGCTATAACATTACTAAAAGTCATAAGGTTAAGTAGGCCTAAAGGTGTTTTCCACCCGTTTGAACTGCTGGCTGAAAATGCTTCGCGTAAACACGAGGAATACACTGATGAAAGTAGTAGCGCAGGACATCAGTGTGTCTGGTAACACTTTTGATGAACTTAGTTTTTGCAGCATCCAAGATTTACATTTTTATTTTTAGTATATCATTTCGAACTTCAATACACGCCACCAAACAAGCTTCCAAAACCATCTCTTCAATTTTTCTGCTACAGCAGAGGGAGGAGTGGTTATTGTTGGGAAAAGAATGGCAGCGCAACCATTCGCATGCCACCAGCCAGCATGGCTTACCCCCAAAGTCAGGGTGGTTGGCGAATACAAAAAGGAAGCGAGACGAGCTAGTACTAGTGAACGAACAGGTGACGTAGAATTCCGATTATTTGAGACCTTAATCGATGGATCAGCGATCAACTTCACAGCAGAAGAGACAACAATATATGTGCAGCCCAAAAGGACACTAAAGCAAATAATTCATATCAGAATGAAAGCTCATCGTATGACAATGTTCGAAACGGGCATATTATTAAGATAAGTGTCCTATTTATTAAAAAACACTTGATGTATCACACGATGTGCACCACAAATGGGGCAATTTAGGAATGATTCCGACGTTGTGATATCGGCCAACTACAATAAATCACTAATGATCAAAGTAGCTGCAATAAAAAACATTCCGTACATCGAGAGATGTAATTAACTTCTACTTGTCAGTTTCTGTTTTATTTATTGAAAAAATAGCCCCGTGGTGTTACTTTTGAGAATAGCTCGAGTTGTATAAGAGTTTCCTTTTCACTTCACTAGGCTAGATAGGTGGTGTCATCTAAAGGCACCCACTTCGAACCAAGCAATCATAAAAGTGTTCAATGGCCATTGTTTCTGTTATAGCTCCGCTACTTTCACTCTGCTGCTTTTATAGTGTCGGTGCTTGCCCAGTAAAGGCGGGCAACGTTGAGCACGGCAACTGTGACGTCAGACAGACCGCTTTCAGGCGGATGATGTGAAGAGCGCTAACGCGATTCGAATACCTTAATCAAGTCTTCATATCCAAATTAGTGCTTTTTTGACACAAAAGTAGCACTGTGACGTTTTTGACCACTATTTCAAATATCAGTGTCAACTATATACCGGCGTTTAATGTCCCTTTAAGGCTTCTCATTCTCAGTTTGTGCTCCCATTTAAATCCAGCTTATCATTCATCCATACATCCAACATCTCATGTCAAATGTCTCGCAGTGGTAAAACCAGACCTCAAACAATGCTAAAAATGCTCAAGTATATGATAATATTTATTGTGCTTTCACGTCCAAAAAGCACCATATCATTGTCAAAGACGCCGTAGTGGAGGGCTCCGAAAATTTTGACCACCTGGGGTTTACATTAACCCAAGGCTGAGCACACACGTCTCAAGCATTTTCGCCTCCATCGAAAATGGCCCCCATGGCGAGAGTTTGATGCCACAATCTGCGGTGGAGCAGCTGAGTGACTTAGCCACTAGACCACTGTGGTGGTTTAATGCTCAAAATTAGTGCGAAATAGTCTAACAACGTCCATGAGAATATCAACTTCATAAGTAACTCCAAAACTATAGCCATAACTTCGCAAACATTTCACGAAAACAACTGCTTTTTGAACTTGTGGCTAATAACGGCTTCGTGCTATGGGGGGAACCACTCCCTCAACAAGCACGTGATTAACGATGCTATTAACAATTAAATATATGATTAACGACAATCTTGGTAACTGGACAGCACGTTGGAACAGCTGGAGAAAGGGGCTCTGAGGTGAAACGTGAACTCCAGTGCAGGGTAACATACGGGATCCTACAATCTGGTTAACATTCCTGCCTTCCTCTTTTCTCTTCTCTCTCTTCCTCTCTCTGTCTAATTTACAGTGATAAAATATATTCGGGAAATATTGTTGTTGGTAATTTTCCCACGGTAAATCTAATATTACAAGAAATAATAAATTGCAAAAGTTTTGCATTCATATTTCCAGCTGATATTTCCACTGTTGATGTCTCAAATGACAAACAGTTTTTGTTTCAATTTTGGCATCTTCCGCTCAACGAAATTGATGCCACTATGCTTTGTCATTTATGTTGGCGTGGCTTTTACGAAGTCATTTTCCTCTCGTATTGAAATGGCTGACAACCCCTTTTGTGGCAAATTTTGTAGCGAGGAGAAAAAACAGCACATAGTCTGCGACGATCCTGGCTATATTGCGCCGAGAAAATTATCTTCAGTCACGCTAGCTTGCATAGATAGTACACCAATGACGGTGGAAACAATTCTGGGATGCCATCCTCAAAGGTATGTAAAATTCAAAGATTTCTATTTTAGATAACCGGGCTCAAAGGACCAATACGCCTGGATATGAAGAGCAGAACACGCCTACGCTGCCGTTTATTATGGAGCAGGACCAAGAACAACCTCACGTGCCTCGTGCCATTCCTCGTTCTTGTCTTCCTCTAGCGCGGGCGATGTTTACTGTTTTTAACGAAGCCATTGTAGGTAAAGACGACGAAGGTGGTGCTGAACATCTTTAGGTCATCATACCTTTACCGGTAATTATAGACCGATGGTGGGGGTTATAATGACTGGGAGGTGTGTGACTGTGTGTGCGTCTGTCTCCTTTCCCTGTCTCAGTCTTTAATACTCATCCCATCTCATTCCCCAGGGTAGGGTAGCATAATGGTCCCTCTAGACAGGTTAACATCCCTGCTTTTTCTTTCTCTCTTGTTCATTCCTTCGTCTATAACTTGGTCAGTCAAGTCTGTGTCTCGATCACAACAAACTGCGCTTCATTCTTACCATTTAACAATTACCTAGGTCCAATAGACATCATCAAAATTTATGACATCATGGTCAGGCATGTAGCCAGATTTTTTTTTTTTTTTTTGGGGGGGGGGGGGGCCTTTTTTGATTCCGAGATGAGTACCCTGTTCAAGTCACCTTTCCGTCTCTATGACGAGGCGAAAAAGTCGTCCTGCAAGGGCCGAGTGAGCCTGCAGTATATTCAAATAAAAAACAATTTCTGAAATACGAGAATTGAGAGGAAGGAGGCACGGGCCTGGTGTGTCACCCCCTGGCTACTCTCCTGGTCACAGTTACTAGTACGAAATTTTCTAGGTGGCGTCACCACCAAACTTCTTTAAAATCGAGTTTCCTTGCTTACCAAGTGTCTCCTCGCAGCAAAAAAAAAAAAAAACGCTGGGTATGGGTACTGTGAAAGACTAGTTTTTCAGTACGAGAAAAATGTTCCTTCTCTTTTGTGTCCCTCTATGTGCGGGATTTATAAGTACATCAATGTCTAGACACTAATGATGTTAGTGCAATTTTTCTTTTCAGTTTCTTTCTCTCCTTTTCATTCTCCTCGGTCTTCCTTTCCTTTTCTCTTCCTGACTTTCTTCCAATTTTCCTTTTGTTTTTTTTTGTTTCTCTTGGTGTTGATCGTTTTTTTTTACTAAGGCATTTTCAAGTCACTTCTTACTAATTTTTGTCTTCCTGTCTTCTTACCTCCGCAAGCTTCGGCCTTATTTTTGTTTTTGCACTTGCTCTAATACTCCCGCGTGTGTGAGCACATGCCATTCCCCATGCTATAGCACCTGTATATTTATTACACTCTTAGTCTTTTCATTCATTTATACATACATACGTACGTACATACATACATACGTACGTACGTACATACATACATACATACATACATACATACATACATACATACATACATACATACATACATACATACATACATACATACATACATACATACATACATACATACATACATACATACATACATACATACATAATACATACATACACACATACATGCATACATACATACATACATACATACATACATACATACATACATACATACATACATACATACATACATACATACATACATACATACATACATACATACGTACATACGTACATACATACATACATACATACATACATACATACATACATACTACATACATACATACATACATACATACATACATACATACATACATACATACATAATACATACATACATACATACATACATACCTACATACATACATACATACATACATACATACATACATACATACATACATACATACATACATACTGAGTTTTGAGAACGGCAAGCAGCATGGGTTTACAGTACCAACTTTCCCGAAAACTCTTGTTATCCTGTGTTTATAGACAATTCTTGGAGGTATCTAACAACAGTGTTCCCTCTCCTTTGTTTACCCCTTACTATACAACAGCAGGTGCGTTTTTATCACTCCGTTTTTTTTTTGTTCATCTTTCGTCCACAGCATTTTTTTTTTTCGTGTGCAAGCTTAGCCTACACTTCTGCCAATCACATCGTTGGCGGATATTCAACACGGTATACATGTTAACACCGCTAACTAGATCAGTTGCATCCTAGAGAAAGACAATCCTCTCGTGTTAACGTTAATTGCAATTGCATTCTTCGATCGAAAATTGCGCTTCATTATTTGTTACATCTATCAGATGAAAGACGTGTTTGGTTCATAGGTAAAGAGCCGAAATGAACTCTCAGAACTTAATATTTTGTAAAAGACACAACTTGCCATCACGAAACTCTTATTCATAGCCTTGTGAAGGGGGTTAGCACACTGTAGTTCAGCTATCGAACTAACTGTAAGTGGACTTTTCTCCAGCGTCCCGGCCTCAACTTTACTCTTCTTTGCCTACATGTTTGTTCCTTAACAATTATTCCAGGAGCTTTCGATCTGTAACAAACAGCTGCGTGCACCAGAAAGGAACATGCCTAGCAAATGTGAGCAATTTTTTCCTGAGATTTTGAAATGACGAATATTTTTGTTGCCTAATACTAGTAATGACACTTTGTTAGGTTAAGCTGCGCAGGCGCAAATGCTCTAGAGCACTTAAGGGGCACTTATCACGTCCGCATTTGTTGAATACTAACCGTGGAACAAAACTGTTAATTTCAGAATAGGACTTAAGTCATCCTAGACACTGGCATCAATATGTTTCTCAATGTCTCATGCCAATCAACTTCAGAACACTTCTCAATAAGATATTGAAAGGGTCTTTTAAAAATAAAAGCTACACTACCTAGCATTTGGTTTAAACGTTTTTTTCAATCTCGGCCTTTGCGATTCTAAATTTTCTGGATCACTCACCATACATCCAAAATAAAAAAACTCCGCATTCTCCTTGATAATCATACGTCCAAAGTACCTTCGAGACATTATTTATTCCTGAAAAGCAAACGGCAAAACTGGAAATTAAGCAATCTGCAGAAATGGACTTCCATTGGCTAAGCGATTGAGTATTATTGTGAGCAGTAGGTAAGGAATTATCATCAGCGCTCTCACTTACAAAGGGGTTAGTATTATTCATAGGGACATTCCAACCACGAATTTCCCTTTGACGTAATCATCTATTTAATGTTCGGAAGCGTTAACAACACGCGAGGGGCTGTTGGTGTGACAATACAAACTGGTGTGGTGCGAGGGTACACCAGAACGTGGACGCTTGACCTGTGCGGAATTTCGGGGAACGCCGCAGGACTAGTTGTCAATGTTAGCGCATCTTAGCAGCAGTGGACAAATTGTGGACTATAGTGCATGGCCAGGTTTCAAAAGAGTCACAAATGTTACTATTTTCTTCCGTCAGTCCGCTAAAACAAACGACGTCTGTGGAATCAGCCTGATACGATGCACCGTACACTAGGGACGAAGTACTGTTGGTCGAGCCTTGTTGCTCCGATGTCGCTTGTCCTGGCTTGCACGTGCTGAAAGCACCAGCCATGATCGCGCCAACCGTAAGCACAAGAGAGGAACGATGATTGCGGGTGCGCTTATGGCAAGCTGTTTCTTTCGCTGCGGTGACCTAAGAGCTATAAAACCTGCTCACTCCCGGCTCTCTTTCTCGTGGTCATGGAGTACACTTCGTTATGAATGAAGACATGACGGGTCGCAGCGCTCCAACGCAGCCCAGAGTTTTGTGCTCCCAGAGTGGCTGCAGCACGGCAGCGCAGACAAGCGGATCTAGACTTGCGGGGGCGCGAAGCTGCAGCGAAACAGTAGCGCCGGCAAGCCGACCAGCAGCTGAGGGCTCGCGAAGCTGCAGCGGCGTGGGAACGTGATCTCCTCCAATTTCAGGTTGGATCCCTTACAAGAACCTTTAGCTTTACATTTCACCGATAATAAGAGGGTCATAATGAAAGAAAAGTGTCGCCCAGATCACAACACCATATCCGTATCGTGTTTAATAAACAGTTTTGTTTATAGCGCACACAGCTGTCATTATCTTTTTCCATGATCGAGTTGGCAATATACGTGGGCTAATGATCCCACGGAGCTTCGCCTACTCACTATCATTCACTTCGTGAATATACTGTGATTTTTGCCACGTGCTCGTTCTGTTTAGAGATACGTGTGCTGTGTGTCAGCCAAAGCTAGCTAAAATGGCCAGTAAAAAATACGTATATGCATACTATTTTTCTGCATGCGCAGCAGGTCGCGTTACCTCGCGGTTTCGAAGACACGTTGCCACAGACATTCTGGTCTATGTTAGCCTAGCCCAGTAAGTTTTGCTTATTACTCTAGTGTGCGAACGCTGAGTGTTCACAGTCATCGTGTGTATGATTGGTTCCTAGCTTCCCCCGAGTACACGATGCAGTTCTTATTTGCATTTTCAAACGCCGACATGAAGAATTATGTGATGCGGCATGAGTTCATGTGAGGGATCTTGCCGACTGTTGCGACACCTGTCAGTTACGCGAACTATCAGTGCCAAACCCAAGGCTAGGTAAAGCTAAAATGTGAAGTGGAGCGTGCAGTTGTAGTTGTTTTTTATTCTCCTTGAGGCAGCTTGTCTTGACTATGAAGTTCGTTTATATGTACTTCAGGGCCTTGATTGTTTCTCACGCAGCCACTGGAATTCGTCAGCTCTGACTATAACGTGTATATGCGATGGGTAGTACCAAAGTAAAGATCACCGTCTGTGCTGAATCTCCGTTTTTATAGCACGCCTATGTCATTTTTTTTACCAATTTATAATTTTTCCTTTGAGCACACTATATCCATACTGCTAAAAGTTTTTTCTGCCATGGTATTATTAGTAGTGAGAAGAAAAAAGCAAGATCGCGCTCATTGGTATTTAAAGACCATATTCGCTAAATTACCGGTTTATTTAGGTTTGTTTGCCAATAATAGTTTGTGAGTGCGTACTTTTAATCAGCTGTCCACTAATGCACGCATGGGCAGATGTTATAACAGCAGTTGAAGACTACGATCTTCGGATGTGGGTAATTTTACAGTGAAGGCTCGCTGCGGTTCTTTCCTTTCAGGTTCAGAAACTGTTTTCGTGCACCCCTCATTAGGAGCGTGTAATTGGGGGCAAGTTGGTAAGACGTTACATTGAGATTATTAGGTGCACTCGTAACAGGACGCAAAAGTTTAAGAATACAGAACGAACGCAGGCTAGCGTGTAACTGATTTATAAAAGGACACTAAGTTCTCTTCTGCAACGATGCGCAGGTGCAGTAAGTCATGAACGCAGGATGTATTTATACATCCCACTACCCATAAAAAACGGACGCGTGTATGTATTTTGCAGAGCGGAGGTGGTGAATGAATTTCCCATAATTTGTGGAATAGTCTATGGGGCATATTGGTAGAGGCATGTAATAAGCGTTTATTGAAGCACTCCAACTCACTAAAATAATTTGCAGTGGGAAGCATCTGTTAGTTCATTGCGCTGGGAAGCACAAGTCGATTCAAGGTGGGACGAAGGGTGAGCAAAAGACAAAAGGGCGCGTGAATGGTTGGAAGCCTTGATAATAGTGAGGCATGGCTCGAAAATAGTGAGACCTGCGTCAGTGACTCATCTATACATCTCTTCAAGAAGAGCTTTGTTTTCTTCGGTAAATGAGGGCCTTGGTGGAGGAGTGTACTGGCGTTACGGGGCCTGACTTCTTTTGCGCAAACGCATTGCTACGATGACGATAGTTATAGCGCGAGAACAAAACGACGACACAGAGACAAGTTTTGTTCTCGCGCTATAACGTTTTGTTCTCGCGCTATAACTATCGTCATGCCATACCAACTAGCCCAAGCTGCCACACTTCTAAGTTGCATTGCTACAGGATGCAAGATTGCATACTTTCAATAACTGCTTTGTAAGTCTGTGTTCTTTCTGTCTTCTACTCTGGTATTTCAATCCCATTGCTGTATAATCTTTCAAGGCGAACCCATGTGTGCAAAATGCTGTGGCCTGTTATGATTGATTTTGGTGTTCCTTGTCGCTACTCCTTTTCTACTTCAAGCACAGTACTGTGAAAAACTACACTGGGAACTGCATGGTCGTATAGTTGTAGTGGAGCCTTTATAACGCAGATAAGTTGAATTGAAGAAAGAGAAAAAATAAACCAGCTGAGTGAAAAAGGTGTCAGCAACTGCTCATTAGTAGTTAAATATTAGCGAGGGCCTCCCTTACAACCCCCGAAAATTGGGAGGAATCATACTGAATATTTAGGTTTGCCTATACACAACTGTTCAGTAATAACAAGCCAAGCCAGATTATTTTTATCATGTGCCTGAAACCGGAAAAAATTCAGTTTCCAAATAATGCTCGGGAGGCATTTCAAGTACTAGGTAATTGGTGTTAAATCTAAACACAACTTCGAGAAATATGTACCATCACGACAGTAGGAGAAAAAATTATTCATTGGGCTCAATTAGGCTAGCTTCCAGTGCTCATTTTGCTTCTAGTTAGCAATGTTATTGTATCTAGCTTTGGTGCCGTGCTTTTGTAATTTTTATCTGCGATGATTCTCGCCCAAGCATAGGTCGGCATGCCTTCAAATGATCCGATTAAATCTAGGTCGCTTGCATAGCCACTTCTTCTAGTGAATGCTGTTTTCTTGAGTTAGCAGTGAATAATTTTGTGCGCGCTTTTACTATACCTCTTTACGCCGTAATCGAAAACTTTGATGTGAACACTTCTGACTTGAAATAAAATTTGAAGGTGACCCTGATCCATGAATTAGGTGTTTTATAGTGGTACTCGCACGTCGTTTTCGTGTGCCCAGGTGTATTTTTTAGCATAATGACTGCGCAAAAGGTATAGATGACTCAGGAAGTGAAGGACAGCACAAGCGCATAATAACAATCGAAACTTTGATTCAAGCATGAGTAATATGAAAGAAGAAAAAAATCTGAAATACCACATACGTAGGCTCAACTAGCGGAAAGATCCTACATTTGTGCATCAAGATAGGCCATCTCTGCTTGGTTTAATGCCAACAAGGGCTTGGTGACACATACATCTTCGGCTTTAAGAATAAAATAATCTCGACAAGTTTTCGAGTCATGCATTCTTTGTGCCGAATCCAGCCTTCAATTACACTAAAAAATGCTACGACAAGTTAGTGGATGACTGTTCTTTCATAGACAATCGATCATCGTTGAACCTTTCGTTGAGACAGCAGCCAGTCCGACCGATATAGCCGGAGATAGTGGTGTTGCCATGCCCTTGTTGTTGTTACACCAAGCAGATATTTCTTATCTTGATGCGGAAATAAAAGATTTTTCAGCTTTTTGAGCACGTGCCTTTGCTTCTTGTGTTCTAAGGGCGAAGATCCGTGGGCCCTAGCCATGTCGGCGTCCTTGACGCTAAAATTTCAAAGCGAAACTTAGTAGCTGCACAAAAATAACGAAAGCATCTGTGTAAAAAGTCGACTTTAAAAGTGCATCAATAGAGCATATGGCAGCCCAATATATGACCACCTGCGCCAACCATGTGTCCGTTCTCCTAATGGTCCATTCATCTTTGCGTAGTTCATGCGTCCATTTGCCCATCTGCCCGTGCGTCAGTCCATTTGTCCATACGTCCATTCATTCATGCGTCCATCTGTTCATCCATTCGACCACGGGAATGTCCGTACCTTCATATGTTTATCTATTCATTCATCCATCTGTCCGTCCTTTGGAGTATTCGGCGACGTCAACTTACTCGGACCATAACGCCCACTTGTAACTATGAATTTCGAGTAGATGCGTGGATTTTTTCGGCAGTCATATTAGTCATGTTTTCAATAAAATTATCAATTTTTAGGATGTGTTTGATCTAATCGTGTCTCCCTCCACCCACTTTTTTTCCTGCTAATATAGTACCATCTCGCTCCACATTTCATTCTCTTCAGTGAATTCCTGGGCTAAATGTTTCGCGTAGGGGTGGAGCGAATCTC